ATAAAACATAATTTGATTTGATCTATTTTATTTCATTTAAACTCTATTAATTTGTTTTAAAAGTATGATTGATCTTTTTCCTTTTAATATACACTCAGGGTAAAAAAAATAGTATATATTGACTCGCGTAACTTTCATGGTTGTAGTTACATTTGAAAATGAAGAAATAATGAAATAAAGAAACGTTGAAGGGACTGGTGTGTTGTATGGCTAGACAACGCCTTGCACATGCAGAGAAATTTACCACAGGTACTCTAGGACAGGTGTGAAACCCCTAGGGCATGCGGTTTCCTGCTCTTGCTCTGCTAATCCCTATACAAAGGAAATGATCGCGACTAATACTTAATACACAAAGAAACAGAATATATTCAAGTAAACTTGGCATTGATTTTTTTCTTGAGTATTATTGAGAATAATAAGTTTTAGTGATATACCCCCCGTTTTAATTGTTTTCTGAAGTTCATCACCATGCACATTCCATCTTCTGTAATTGGAGAAATGTTTAAATTAAAAACAAACCACTGTTTACAAAAGAAGTAAATATCGAGGGAAAAAAAATGTTATATTTTATTGATATCTTTTATAACGTTCACGCGCCCACTCACTGCAAACGCTCACCATCGAATATTACAGCTTTCCGGTCATTCGACAATTTCAGGGAAATGCTTAAGGAATCACTGTCTAGTTAGTAGAGTATGCCAGGGCATCAACGATAGTTGGAAACGTGGGATAATTTGCATAACGGGCGAAGCCCGTTATGCATAAATTATCCCACGTTTCCAACTATCGTTGATGTCCCTGGCATACTCTACTAACTAGACAGTGATTCCTTTTATTTCCATTTCATTTTGAAATAAAATTGTAAATTTAGATTTTAAAAATGTAGACTAATAGATTTAAATTATACGAGGCCTCACATGTCAATTTCAATAGTCTCCGCCCACTGACGTCAAACACAAAGAAAGCCGCACGAGATTTACATGCATATTAGGCCTCCTTAGCGTCAGACACAAAGACAGCCGCATGAGAATTACATGCATATTAGGCCTTCTTAGCCCCTGACCTTTCGCTTTTCGAAATTTGCATTCCATTAGAATGATCAAGAAATCAACTCTCCTAATTTTCAAAGAGTTATCACAGAGAAAACTAATAGAAATGGAAATATTTGCACATTAATACAGTAAAGTGAAATTATTTAAATGAATTATATTGTTCTAAATTTGGTAAAAAGAAAAAAAAAACATGAACAGTATATAGATATATTTTTTTCCTCATAGGAATGCTGAAAACTGTTAATCGGAACTCGCACTGACTATTGTTTAGCACGTGTATGTAACATTGCAGTTCGCATATAATTTGAAAAGAGAAGTTATTATAGAACTTATATTTCCGACATTAAAATTTGTCACGTTAAACTCTCAAATGACTCAGCTTATAAATAGTTTTCTTGATACTTTTTAAAAAAAGATGTCGCTTTAGCATTGATATATAACTTAACAAAATTAATAATAATAAATAAAATGATAAAAAAAAAAAAAGATTAAATATATTCTGCTTTACAATTTTTTTTTGTTCATTCATTATTTTCACCTTTTGCGAAATAAAAGAAAATACTTTCATAAATATACATACACTGCGGGATTTTATTTTGTTTTATTTAAAGAGGGAATTTCGCAAAATTCCTGTTCGGGGAGATAACTCCCGTTTGTTTACGATACTAGTTGATCGATGATTTAACCGCGGCGGGGACAGGTAGGTGATGAATTTCCCGCGGAGGGAACGCGGTTTACCTGTCTCACCTGGCCAAATCCCGCGTTGTGTTTATACCGCGACGGGGCGCGGGAAATACGGGATCCGCGTTGCCTGTACTGTACATGTATAGTCAATCAGATTAGAAATACAGCGACTATCAGAATTTCGGGCCGTAAAAAAGATCTGATTTTGATTAGATTTCAGGTGTAGGCGAATGTGTGTGTAATGAGGGGTTAGTTAATTCATTCAAGATTTATTATATTGTTCGTTTGGACAAAGGCTTCATAAAAATATACACACTGCTTGTACAGGTACACATCAATGAATGTTCAGATTAATTCAAAAATCGGCGGACATTAATTTATTTTAGTTATCTAAAAGCAATGTTATTTCCAGAGACATAAATTATATTTTCTGTTTTTTGTCTCGGATTTTTCTTCTTTGTGATTTACCGGTTTACAAAGGCCTGTGTTTTAACAGCTGTTCATAAACGCTGTCAATTAATATATGATCAGAGAAAACGAGACATCTCCCGGTAATTCATTTCTTATGGAAAATATATGGATTGACATCTTAGTATTTACCTGTGTAATTATGATGTTACAAACCGTGACGATGACTGGCCAGGAGGACTACCCGTTATGAAAACAACTCATGATCAACTCAGCGGACCTATAATTGACTTTAATATATGCTGTAAATCAATAAAATCCTTTCAGTTTAACCGATATTTTATTGCAAAGATAATGGGAAAAAAAGACTTGGGATTTAGAATTTTTCTGAATTTCAAACGCTCAATATGCATATATTTGGGACGCTCTTGCATATGCACTTATAAAACGTGCATGTTCTGTACTTGCATGCGTGTACATTGTATGTATCCGTAAAACCTTAAGAGAGCTGATAAATGTGTTCTGATTTTCAGAAAAAATAATGGGAATTAACCTATAAAAAATACATGTTTATCATTTTGTTCGCATACAATAACAAGTTTAGTAGAAAAAAATAATTTGTTCAAGGTTAGGTGTCTAATAAATTTGTAATATTCAAATACAGTTACGCATGTATGTCTCATTCTACATATTTTGGAGACGCGTGTGAATGTGGGATTTTGTATTTCCATACGCTCGATATGCATATATTTGGGGCGCTTTGTATATATACAGTTGTACATTTTAAGGGCGTCGACAAAAGAACGTATATTAGATTACATACATGTACATTTAAGTTTCAAAAGTTTCATTACTAGTAGGAATTAATTAAGGTTACATATTTTGAATTTTATTATGAATAAAACAGACAATTAACTCGATATCGAGAAATAAATTGTTTATAAAAATAACTATGCAACTTTCCTGTAATTCAGCGAATAAAATATTAAATAAAATACACTAGCGATTTAATCAAAGATATTATGAAATAATCTGAAAAATTCAACATATTTATCCACTTATGACTTAGTTTACAAAATGAATTTGGAATGGCCATTCTATATGATTTGTTTCGTGTATGACTAGGTCGCTGGATCACACACGCCGATTGATCTGCGGTGACCTCCTTTGCCACGCGCTATCGAGGGAGGTGTTACATAATTGTAAACACACAAGGTGAATGTAAAAGGCGCACACTTAATGGCTGTAAATAGTCTATGCTTCAAAGTTATGTTTTATTTTCTCAGTATATTGTTTGTTTTTATGTGATAAGAAGAAAAGGTTATCTATTTCCCCCCTTTTTTTAATAGACTGGTTTATTCGACTTTGAAAAAAATGAAATAAAACGAAAAGTTGTCAAAAAAATAACTTGGAAATAAAGCACAAAACACTTCAACAACCTTATTCTAAAGAATATTAGCATCTAATGTAGCCAGATTTATTATTTATAGTAAGTTTATTTTAGTTACACGCATGAAGAGCTCTCGTTTACTTGCTGAATGAAAACAGTTACCTGTATATGGGTCAAGCTTCTGGCGCATTTAAAACACAAGACTCGAAAAATATAACATTTTCATGAAATCAATAAGATGTTAGAGAACAACTTTTTTAACGACAGCCATTTCGAAATATTTACCGTTTTTGAGTTATAAAGCAAAAACTTTAAAGGGCTCCAGATCCCTAATTTGAGGGGCCAGCCCCTTTTTAGTGGTGTCAAATGAAAGGCCTTGAAATTATGCACAACTTTTATTCTACATGTCTTATCAAAATATTTTTAGTTTTAAAGATACAAAGGAAAATATGTTTAAATTTTCGCTCTTTTAGGCGTTCTAAATTTTGACCCCTAATTAGCGCCATTTTGAATACAGAAATCGAAAAACAAAAACCGATGTGCACAACTTCAATCCTTCTATTATCTAAATTCGGTAGTTTTTCTGCTCCAGCTTTTGTAGTCTCGGAGCCTTTGTCTGGAAATGTAGCCTAATGAATTTTCATTTAAAGGGCAATAACTCAAAAGCGGAAGTGACTTTTTGAACTGTTTGACAGCACTCTGATAGAGTTTGGTAACGTCTATAAACTCTGCAAATTTGTGCAAAATCCGTTGAGAAATGAGCGAGATATGTGGTCTCAAAGTTGGCGTCTAGAAAGGAGAAGAAAAAAAAAAAAAAGAATAATAATCTTAACCATCAGAAACAGTAGAAGGTCTTCCGTTGGAAACGGAAGACCTTAAAAAGAATAATAATCTTAACCATCAGAATCAGTAGAAGGTCTTCCGTTGGAACGGAAGACCTTAATGATCCTTAGCATTATTATCGAAACTATTTGTACCCACCAATCAGCTAAATGTATTTAAAAAAATAATTTGCATGTTTTTTTTCTAGATATTTACACAGGTCCACATATAGTCGTCAATAAATATGTCCGATTTCGATTTTTTAAAAATGTTATATACCATATATTACATGACCTCTCGGGCAACAATACCAGAATATTTGCCCCTCGGTAACAGGAAAGCCCTGGAGTGTTATGTCGCCCTCTGCCTTCGGCATCGGGCGACATAACACTCCAGGGCTTTCCTGTCACCTCGAGGGCAAATATTCTGGTATGTTGCCCTCGAAGCCATGTAATATATGTATAATATACATATATATATATATATATATATATATATATATATATATATATATATATATATATATATATATATATATATATATATATATATATATATATATATAATTTCAAAAACAAAATGAAGAACCGGTACAGTTTTAAATTTCTATTTTATCATGTTTATAAAAATTCTTTATGCAGTACCTGGAACATCAACTTGGTTTGAGCCTATGAGTTCATACGAAGTCCCACTTATTAATTTCCAAATCTGGAAGAAAACAGTGCCCTCTGCCTTTGGATAAAATTCCCAGTGTGAAATCAATCCACAACACTTTATGGTATTGTCCGTGTCTGGCATCAGAAAATATTTGTCTGAAATCCAGTGAAATTCACAAATTAAAATAAGCATGACAACTCGTACTGATCAATTGCGGATCTGTAACTCATTTGTCTGGAAAAATTAGAATGGACGTTCTTAACTTAAGGAATGTGATGTGTTCATCATTTTATAACATGTAGGTATCTTGTGCCAGTAATAGTGTGTAGGTTGCCTGTTGTAAATAACAGCAGTTTGATGTATGGACTCCAATATATAGCATGTAAACTTCCAGCTATGACTGAGCTCAGTGTGGTGTTCTGACCCCAGTAATAGTATAGGTATTAGTATATTTATAATTGTACGGAGGCTACTTCTTATTTAGAGCTGCGACCTTAAGTATATGAAATATGGACTACTTGCTGTGTTATACACTATTATATAAGTATCTAAGCTCCTCTTTATTATAAAGAGCAATTTGTTGTATGTAGTACAGTTTAGAGTACCTGTACCCAGGCTACTTGTGATTTAGAGGAGTCTGATGTATGTAGTACAGTTTGTACCTGTACCCAGAGGATACTTGTGATTTAGAGGAGTCTGATGTATGTAGTACAGTTTAGAGTACCTGTACACAGGCTACTTGTGATTTAGAGGAGTCTGATGTATTTAGTACACTTTAGAGTACCTGTACCCAGGCTACTTGTGATTTACAGGAGTCTGATGTATGTAGTACAGTTTAGAGTGTCTGTACCAGAGAATACTTGTGATTTAGAGGAGTCTGATGTATGTAGTACAGTTTAGAGTACCTGCACCCAGGCTACTTGTGATTTAGAGGAGTCTGATGTATGTAGTACAGTTTAGAGTACCTGTACCCAGGCTACTTGTGATTTAGAGGGGTCTGATGTATGTAGTACAGTTTAGAGTACCTGTACCCAGGCTACTTGTGATTTAGAGAAGACTAATAAAGTACCTGTACACAGGCTACTTGTGATTTAGAGGAGTCTTATGTATGTAGTACAGTTTAGAGTACCCCGTACCCAGGCTACTTGTGATTTAGAGGAGTCTGATGTATGTAGTACAGTTTAGAGTACCTGTACCCAGAGGATACTTGTGATTTTAGAAGAGTCTGATGTATGTAGTACAGTTTAGATTACCTGTACCCAGGCTACTTGTGATTAAGAGAAGTCTGATGTATGTAGTACAGTTTAGAGTACCCGTACCAAGGCTACTTGTGATTTAGAGAAGACTGATGTATGTATAGTACAGTTTAGAGTACCTGTACCCAGAGGATACTTGTGATTTAGAGGAATCTGATGTATATATTACAGTTTATAGTACCTGTACCCAGAGGATACTTGTGATTTAGAGGAGTCTTATGTATGTAGTACAGTTTAGAGTACTGTACCCAGGCTACTTGTGATTTACAGGAGTCTGATGTATGTAGTACAAGATTAGATTACCTGTACCCAGAGGATACTTGTGATGTAGAGGAGTCTGATGTATGTAGTACAGTTTAGAGTACCTGTACCCAGAAGATACTTGTTATTTTAGAAGAGTCTGATGTATGTAGTACAGTTTAGAGTACCTGTACCCAGGCTACTTGTCATTTAGAGGAGTCGGATGTATGTAGTACAGTTTAGAGTACCCGTACCAAGGCTACTTGTGATTTAGAGAAGACTGATGTATGTATAGTACAGTTTAGAGTACCTGTACCCAGAGGATACTTGTGATGTAGAGGAGTCTGATGTATATATTACAGTTAAGAGTACCTGTACCCAGAGGATACTTGTGATTTAGAGGAGTCTGATGAATGTAGTACAGTTTAGAGTACCTGTACCCGGGCTACTTGTGATTTACAGGAGTCTGATGTATGTAGTACAAGATTAGATTACCTGTACCCAGAGGATACTTGTGATGCAGAGGAGTCTGATGTATGTAGTACAGTTTAGAGTACCTGTTCCCAGAGGATACTTGTTATTTTAGAAGAGTCTGATGTATGTAGTACAGTTCAGAGTACCTGTACCCAGGCTACTTGTCACCCGTACCCAGGCTACTTGTGATTTAGAGAAGACTGATGTATGTATTACAGTTTAGAGTACCTGTACCCAGAAGATACTTGTTATTTTAGAAGAGTCTGATGTATGTAGTACAGTTTAGAGTACCTGTACCCAGGCTACTTGTCATTTAGAGGAGTCGGATGTATGTAGTACAGCTTAGAGTACCCGTACCCAGGCTACTTGTGATTTAGAGAAGACTGATGTATGTATTACAGATTAGAGTACCTGTACCCAGAGGATACTTGTGATTTAGAGGAGTCTGATGTATGTATTACAGTTATGAGTACCTCTACCCAGAGGATACTTGTGATTTTAGAAGAGTCTGATGTATGTAGTACAGTTTAGAGTACCTGTACCCAGACTACTTGTCATTTAGAGGAGTCGGATGTATGTAGTACAGTTTAGAGTGCCCGTACCAAGGCTACTTGTGATTTAGAGAAGACTGATGTATGTATAGTACAGTTTAGAGTACCTGTACCCAGAGGATACTTGTGATGTAGAGGAGTCTGATGTATGTATTACAGTTTAGAGTACCTGTACCCAGAGGATACTTGTGATTTAGAGGAGTCTGATGTATGTAGTACAGTTTAGAGTACCTGTACCCAGAAGATACTTGTGATTTTAGAAGAGTCTGATGTATGTAGTACAGTTTAGAGTACCTGTATTCAGGCTACTTGTGATTTAGAGAAGACTGATGTATGTATAGTACAGTTTAGAGTACCCGTACCCAGGCTACTTGTGATTTAGAGAAGACTGATGTATGTATTACAGTTTAGAGTACCTGTACCCAGAGGATACTTGTGATTTAGAGGAGTCTGATGTATGTATTACAGTTTAGAGTACCTGTACCCAGAGGATACTTGTGATTAGAACTCTAAACTGTACTACATACATCACAAGTGGCCTGGTTACAGGTACTCTAAGCTGTACAACATACATCAGACTGCTCTAAATCACAAGTATCCTCTGGGTACAGGTACAAACTAAACTACATACATCAGACTGCTCTAAATCACAAGTATCCTCTGGGTACAGGTACTCTAAACTGTACTACATACATCAGACTCCTCTAAATCACAAGCTTAGAATATTAATATGTAGGGTACTTGTTGTAAGTTAGAGCAGTTGGATGTGCAGATATCAGTTTATAGTAACAATCTGTTGTGAGTTAGAGCAGTTGGATGTGCAGATATAGTAACTATCTGTTGTGAGTTAAAGCAGCTGGATGTGCAGATATCAGTTTATAGTATCTGTTGTGAGTTAGAACAGTCTGATGTGCAGACACCTAAGCATGTAGGTTACGTGTTGTAATTGAGAACAGTCTAATGTTATGAAAAATGTTTATAAGTAAGAGTGGGTATACTTATTGGTCCACCTGATGTATGAACACCAGATAGAGTATATGTGTACTAGTGTGTAGGTACTTATATTAATGATACGTCTGATATATGGACACCACCTCATCGGTTACTTACTAGGCTTTGTGAATAAAGACACCAGTGTATAGGCTACTTATAGATCAGACATTAATAGATATAACAGAAAATATGTAAGAGGTTACTAACCGGTCAGTGACGTATCAGACGAGGCGTGGGAATCAGCTGTACTTTTCATAAAGTGGTCACGAACCAGACAAACTAGAAAAACCAAAACGAAGAGGAATCACCACATTAATTGTAGTACTATTAACTCAGGACATACATGCGTTGTCTGAGGATTAATTACAATTAGAGAAATAAATTGATTATTATTGATTAACAGGAAATAAAATTTGATTTTTAAGTAAATTACTTCTCAACTAACAGTAATAACTTTGGATAGAGAAAATTATTTGGCATGCACGCGTTTTTTTTTGTTTTTGTTTTTGTTTGTTTTTTTTTTTTTTTTTTGTTTTTTTTTTTTTGTTTCTTTTTTTTTGTTTGTTTGTTTTTTTTTTTTTGTTTGTTTGTTTTTTTTTTTTCGTCGAAATTTATGGCGATCTTGAAAATTGCAATTTTTTAAATCATCTTAATGCAGAGAAAAATACAAAATTCACATAAAATGTTTTACCTTTCCGTACAGGGTTGTAATTTGTGGATATCTGAGGTCTTTTGATAAAAAAAATGATGAAATCTTTATCAATATATATTTTCAAGTTCGAAAGTAGTGATGATTTTGTGGAGGAAATGATATCTTAGTAAATATAAACCTTTTTTTTTTTCCTTCACTCCGACGCAAAAAAATATGCAAGATTACCGACCATATAAGCTTAAACATCAGAAAAAAAGACACATAAATCATTACTTACATTAATTAACATGATCATTTTGTACCAAAGAAAAAAATAATACAAGTCTAATACACTAGACAAAATTGCTAATGCTCCACCGAAGAAAATTAATAATTTAATTTTCAAAACTTATTCATGATGTATTTGATATATAATTATGTTACTTAATCCAAAAATAGGGCATTTAAATGTCTTTAATGATAAATAATCATAGTGTTAACTGAAGCGTACCAATTTCATAGAAAAATTAAAAATCTTGTCCATACTATGTGTTATTCAAGAGAACACTTTACTACAATAACAAGAGTATAGAAAATGTAAAAGAATTTAAATATCTTGGTATCATTTTTTCAAGATTTGGCTCCTTTTTAAAAGCCAAGAAACATCCATGTGACCAAGCCCAAAAAGCAATGTATGGTGTAATCAGAAACATTAGACAATTCAACCTCCCTTTAGCATGTCAATTTGAATTGTTCAATAAAATGGTTGTACCAGTGTAACTCTATGGTTGTGAAATCTGGGGGTTTGAAAACCTAGACATTATTGAACGTGTTCATTTAAGATTTTTTAAACATATACTTTACTAAAATTAGTACACCAAATTTTATGGTTTATGGTGAAACAGGACGCTTTCCATTATCTGTCCTTGTTTATTCTAGAATAGTTTGGTGTAATAGTGTAAATTAATTAATACCCCCGGAAACAAATCTTCATGTATATTATGTAAATAGTCAATCGCTAACTCACAATCTGAAATTGGTAAGAATCCATGGATTGACTGTGTGCATCGTATTTTTGATTCATGCGGACTATCTAATATTTGGAATGAACAGTTTTGTTATAGTCTTAACCAAGATTGGGTTACTACTGCTGTAAAGCAACGAATACAGGATCAATTTATACAAAAATGGAATGCTGACATTAATAATTCATCCAAAGGTGTTGTGTATAAACTTTTTAAAACAAATTTTAAATGTGAAAAGTATTTATGCATTTTGCCACTAAAATTTAGAAAAATACTTGTAAAAGTTCGCACCTCTAATCGCCGTCTACCAGTTGAACTGGGAAGATGCGCAGGTATACCATTAAATGAAAGATTATGTACACTTTGTAAAACTAGACATGTTGCCAATGAATTCCATTTTATACTTGAATGCACTTCATTGTCAAACATTAGGAAAAAATATATTAAAGAATACTACTTTCCTAGACCAAATATACTTAAATTTTCTCACTTGATGACAAAACAAGATGCTAAGACTCTGAAAAAAAATCTGTACTTTTATATTAAAAATATATGAATTACTCAGTCCTTCATGATTTTTTCCTCATTTATACTATTAGTATATGTATTATATGTATTTACCTTTTTCTTTTTTTTCTCTTTCATTTTCATATTCTGAATAAGTATATCATATACTTATATCTCTGACCTGATATTGCATGTTGTAAATATTTTTCATTGTCCTCATGTACCATATAGTTTAGATGGTTTTTGGTGAATAAATGAACTTAAACTTGTTTGTGTTCTTTTCGTTTGTACTTAAAACCCAGAAAAAAGTTACACCGTATGCACTAGCAGCGTTAAACCCTAGAAGAGCGTGCTAAAACAGTCCGTATGGTGTCTGTAGGGGATCTTTTGGAGAAATTTGTGAAAAATTAAAACAATTAAAAGATTATTCGTTCCTCTGGTGAAAATCGTTGCAAGTAGATTAACAAAAATAAAAATGTTTACTATAGATAGCTACTGCATATTAAGCCCCGCAAGAAAATTTTAAGATTGCACCACAAAACTGGGTCAACCTGCAGTTGGATAAACTTGGTATGGACACCAAGGCACTGGATGTCAGCTAGGCGATATGATAGTCAATCACCGTATGTTATTTGATTTTTGATTGGGACAATGGTCGCAACCTCATGGACCATCTTTGGTAATCACCAACTCTGCAAAAACGGGGCGCAGTGCACCCGGGAAAATGGTTTTAGGACAAGAAAGCACGTCATTCAAGGGCCTTGTCATGACACAAAGACATCTGTCAATCCCACTGCATTGGAAAAGATGGCATTTTATATATACTTGTACCGATCAGCCAAATGTGCAATTCACAAATAAGAATATTACATGTGGTGCGTTAGCAATTTTATCTAGTGCATTGAACCAAATTTTTTGGTGTTATTTTGAATACATATTATAACACTACAATTATGTACATACATTTAACAGCTCAAAAACATTTACGTTAAAAAAGTGATCATATTATGGAAGCATATCATTGGGTCCAGACTCAGGTTTCACGTACTTGTTCAATGTTCATATCACGGTTAGGCCATTGTTTTCATACTAATTTTGATTGTACGGATTTATCATTCCCTTTACTTGATCAATACGGAGGACTAACGGCAGTGTGACCGCGGTCGACAGGGAAGCTTACTCCTATGCACCTGATCCCACCTCTATTGTTTCCAGGTGTCCAAGTTTTTTTGCCTTACTCTTGATTTTATTCATAGGATTTATGAAATTGATTACAGTTCGTTATCTTTACTTTTTTGTTACTAATCTTGTATCAGTACTTTCCTAAAGTCAGTGTATCTCACTAATTATCATGTTGTCTTTCTGACTTGATTCATATTTATTAAATGTTTATTATTTATAAATAATTTATTGATATGACAATAAAATATTTTTAAAAAGCCATGATAGAAACTACCAATGCTATGTTTTGACCTATTCTATCGAAATAATTTATACTAGTCTATTTAAAAATGACAAAGGAACGATCAGTGCTCCAAGCCAAGCCAAACCATGATAGGTTTTGAAGCATCATAAAAAGCATATCATAACTTCATGTTTTACTTTTTGTATTTGGGTGAATTAAAAAAAATGACCAAACACATATTTATCAACCAAAAATACAGGCAATGGGAATGAATTTCTATGTATTAGCATATGTCGTTACATAGTGTCTAAATACCTGCCAAATATCTCACTGATATCTCAATTCACAAAAAAGTTATGTCCAAAAATGATGCTAAAAATGTAAGGAGTGCAACACCTTTTTGTGACATTTTGAAAATTCAATATTTTTTGAAGAACTGTGAAAAAAAATAGTAATGTTTTATGTTGGAAATAAAGACTTTCCTGATAAAATTCAAAGTATTGAGCTTTAAATGTAGACTGTAGCAACTTTTGTTTGACCAAGCTGTGGTCATGGCTGATGTTGAAATAAATGTTATACCATGTCATGAGTGTAACAGAAAAAAAATTGCCTGAAAGACAATTAAGTCAAAAAAGAATTTTCAAAGTGTAAAGCAATAACTGATATACAATTTAAAACTTAAAAATGTTATGTAAATCACAAGCAGCATTAATGAGAGTCAATTATCTGTGCATACCCTATAATGTCAGGAGTGCAACATTTGATGTTTTGCTCCCCAGCATGAAAAAAACTTTGATCAGTATATGATTCTCTGGTTTTTATTTTGGAAAATAAAGATACAAAGAACATTTTTACTAAATAGATTTATTAATTACAGGGTCTGTCTGTGTTTCAGATCTATATTTCTATGGTCATGAGTGCAACACATTTTTTAAAGGTTCAAGTTATATGATCAACTGACCTCTATTCATGCTAATAAATATTCTTTAATTAATAATGATCTATTTGAATAATTTAGTACTAAATTATTGACAGTTTTATTATTAAAATCCTTCTCTTTTTCAATTTTATCAATTCAGATGTGTTTTTTTTTAATCTTTTCTTTGATTTTTTATGAATGTAAAAAATATACACACTGAAAAATTGTTATATAATTCAAGCAATACCAACTCAACGTCACTGAAACAACAGAACAAGTTCTGATGTAATTTTTGCTTTACAATTCTACTTTATAGACTCCCATGCTCTTGGTCAGGAATGCAACAACTATGTTAGAATTATTGCTGATCAAATATGAATAAATATAAAGAAAAATTGATGAGTAGAATGTTTCTGGTTGACCTCAGTTGCTTACAGTGTTTTTCCTGTAAAGGAAAATATACTATAAAATATATTTTATCTTCTAAATATACATTTCAGCTAGGTTTTTTTTTTTTACATAAATAGGGAATAATTCAAGATATAAAGCCAAGTTTAACTACTTTCATGTGTTTTTATTATGAAGTATTGGACTATCAATATTGCACTATTTCGTTACCACTTGATGTTGCCAACACTTCATGAAATTTTGTGTTCTATGGTAACTGTTTTAATTTTTGATTTTACTGCAGTCAGGAGTGTAAAATAAAAAAAATTAAAAAAAAATTAAAAAAAAAAAAAAAAAAAAAAAAAAAAAAAAAAAACCTGTTTTATAATTATCAATGATCTTCATCTATCTTTACTAAAAAATAAATCGAAAAAAAAAATGTCTGATGCCATTTGATGTTCAAAACATATGTCTATCAACTAATTACAGACATTTTACAGCCAATTCAGAGAATAGTTTTCATCACTTAACACATTTTTTAAATACAATTTTATATATTACACATTGCAAATAATCATGTTTTGAAGTCTTGTAAATATGAAAAACTTGCCGTAAATGATAAAAAATATCAAAACGACGAACTGATTTACAAACTAAGAATGGGTTATTATGCGTTATAATTTTTAAAGCAATGCTTAATAAAATACATAACAGATGTCAGGAGTACAACACAATAATGTGAAATAGGGTCACTTCAAAATCTAGTATTTTTTGTAAGAAAACTTGTATATCAAAATTCTTTTTTGGCTAAGATTGACTTAAATGGACAAAAGAGTGATTTTGGAGGAATTCTATTGCTTCATATTTCTTTCATATTAAAACTTTTCAAACCAGAATTGAAAAAATAATGTAAAATAACAATCAAAAAGCCAATTTTTTTCCACATATACAAGAGAACAAATTTAATCAAGGTTTAGATTTAATCATTTATATCCCAGATACCATTTTGAAGCATAAAAAACTATAATTTCTTTTGATTATTTTTTTTATAAAGTCTTTAAGGATGTAGTGATATTTTCCTTTTTCAAATAAAGTTTTACTAATAAACATTCTGAAACTTTTTTTTCCAATTGTCTATTCTATTGCAACTTCAGGAATTTTAACCAGAATGCATGTACAAAATGATGATATAAGAGAAAAATATGTTATGGGTAGTTGAATTTTATAAAAAAAAATTCCAATTTGGTGGTCATTATTTTTTGATTCACCCATTTCACTGTTGCAGCTCTTAGTACGGTCCAGTCTCTTTCGGTACTGTTGAAGTACACAAATCATTATAGCTTTGTAATATCAAACCAAATTGTATTCTTTACGCTTATAGATTATGTTTTTTTTTTTAATCTTATGAATACATTTATATTGTAAAGTCTTAAATTATATTTGTTCCAGGCATTGGCATCTAAAACATTTCCTTTTGTCAAAGGTTACATGCCACCCTATATGTTTCTAGCAATACTTTGATAATTCAATTTTTGTCAAAAAGCATAACGTTTATTTGATTCATTTGAACTTCATCTGTTTTTTAAAAAAAATCTTTGATATCTGAAAATATCACTACGAAATAAAAGCAATCATGAAATTTCACAGTAAATGTTTGATAAACTGCAAGTCCTCCATACACAGGTCAAATAACAATTTTTTAATCTTTTCTCATAATCGTCGATTAGGCCTACTAATACTTTATTTTTCATATAATTAAAATCATTTCAGAATTGTACCGTGATCAATAAGCAGATTTGAAAATCATTATAGGTCTGTCAATAGTTCCAAAGGATATATTTATTTTTAACAAGAGGCCCAGGGGCCACATCGCTCACCCGAGCACTATGGCTAGGAAAAAGCAGAAATCAGTTCGGTCTTGAAAGGTTGAAAAGTTTAAATATAAAAGTGGTTGGGGGGCATGAATTGAACAAATTTGAATCTACATTACCTGAGGATGCTTCCATTTAAATATGACCAATCATGGCTTTGCTGTTCTTGAGTAGAAGATTTTTAAAGATTTTTCCTATATATTCCTATGTAAAACTTTGATCACCCATTGTGGCCCCACCCTTACCCCAGGGGTCATGTTTGAACAAACTTGAATCTACACTATCTAAGAATGCTTCCATATAAATATGACCAATCATGGCTTTGCTGTTCTTAAGAAATAGTTTTTTTAAAGAAGATTTTCACTATGTATTCCTATGTAAAAGTTTGATCGCCCATTGTGGCCCCACCCTATCCCCGGGGGTCATGATTTGAACAAACTTGAATCTACACTACATGAGGATGCTTCCATGTAAATATGACCAATCATGGCTTTGCTGTTCTTGAGAAGAAGATTTTTAAAGATTTTTCCTATATATTCCCATGTAAAACTTTGACCGCCCATTGTGGCCCCACCCGACCCCCGGGGATCATGATTTGAACAAACTTGAATCTACACTATCTGAGGATGTTTCGATGTAAATATGACCAATTATAGCTTTGCTGTTCTTGAGAAGATTCTTAAAGATTTTTCCTATATATTCCTATGTAAAACTTTGATCGCCCATTGTGGCCCAACCCTACCCCCGGGGGTCATGATTTGAACAAACTTGAATCTACACTACCTGAGGATGCTTCCACATAAGTTTCATATTTTCAAGTACAGTGGTTCTTGAGAAGAAGATTTTTTAATGATGCCATTAATTTTTCACGAATTCATAATTATCTCCCCTTGGAAGAAGGCGTGGCCCTTCATTTGAACAAACTTGAATCCCCTTTACCCAAGGATACTTTGTGGCAAGTTTGGTTGAAATTGGCCCAGTGGTTCTGGAGAAGAAGTCGAAAATGTGAAAAGTTTACAGGCGGACAGACGGACAGACGGACTACAGACAAAATGTGATCAGAAAAGCTCACTTGAGCCTTCGGCTCAGGTGAGCTAAAAAGGAGTTGTATTTACCAAAATATTGTAGAAAGCCTATGCTTACATTGACAGTTTTGAGTGTTACATTCCCTACACTGGTCTGCCGAATTTGGACAGTCGTTTCCTCCATTATCTGGTGTGGGGTTGTTACAGAGACGGGACCTATTTTGACTTCCGGAATCACAAGTGACAGTACACGTACTCCAAGCTCCCCAAACACCCCATCCTCCATGAACTATAAAAGTACACAAAGGATAAAAATTAATCCGACCCTTTGAGTGACATGATAACTCTTTCAGTCTACACGAGAGAGTTTAATGTCAAACGTTAGCAAACATCTCAAAGGCTGACATTGATAAATATATATATATATATATATATACGTTACTGAAAATCAAACAATTAAAACGTTGAATTCCCAAAAAAGATATAACTTTAAGAGGAAAAAGACCAAAACACTCACCAGAGTCATCTATCCTATCTGACATATAAATACAGAGATAAATGAAACCATTTGCAGTAACGATCATTAATTAAATTGCGTGATATCGGAAATTGACGTCAAATTAACTTACAAATTGCTGTCTCGGTGTTCTTCCAGAAAAATATGTATTTCTGTTTAATAATATGACCCTTTTTTGTGCATACAAGATGTATTATTTGAACTAGCACGAATTATACCTGGGAAAGTTTGAAGCTTATTATTCCTAACTGTTGCCCATGTGTTCTTGAAAAAAGGTTATTTTAAAAGATTTTTCCCACTATACTCCGAACATGCCAAAGTGCCCGGAGGCACCTTTACCTCCTTCAGCTGCCCAATTCTAGACCCGAAGGCACCTTTACCCCCTTCAGATGCTTAATTCTAGGCCCGGAGGCACCTTCTCCTCCTGGAGATGTCTATTAAGTCACCCCATTGTGACACCAGTTACAGGGGTCATAATATGAATGAAATTGAATCTTCACTACATCGGGATATATGCATTTCTTATTGACTTATTGTAGCACTTCTGCTTCAAAGATGGGGATATTTAAACCAAAAAAATGTCTCTTATACCCAGGTGTAAAACTTTGACTCGTGTTTTAGTCTGACTCTTGTTTTAGTCGGACTCTTGGTCCATGAATTAAACAAACTTGAATCCTCATTACATGAGAGTGTTTTGTATGTTAATAACTTATTGAAGTCCTTGTGTTCTTGACAAAAAAAAATCTTTTTTGATACATCCCCTACGTAATCCCATGTCATCTCTGACACCGTTTTGTGCTCCCCTTCCCTTCTTAAACCTTGTGTTCGTGAAACTTGAAAAAAAAACTCTATAAAGAAACTTTCCTTAAGTTTTACCTTTTCTAACACGGATAACAGACGACAGACGCCGGACAAACTTTGATCAGAAAAGTTCACTCAAGCCTCTGGCTAAGGTTAACTAAATAATTATGTTTGAAAGGTTGGTAAAGATGAACATCGTATAAAGATTATACCACAGTATAAAAACTCATTACCTGTTTCCAGGAAACTTAACAACAGCTATATTGTCTGGGCTTCTCATTTGTCGTCATTCATTAAAAGATACTCTAAAAATAAAGTTTACCACATCTTTATTATACGTCTATGTTATATATTCTTATAGTGACCTGGACAGCCTAAGGAATAACAGGTAGCATCTTCATAACTGCTCCCTGGACAGTCATCTCCTCCATTCTGCCTTGAGGGATTCGTACATGTTCTAGTTCGTCTCACGTTTGTATTGTGAGGCCAACAGTTGGATGGACACGATGCCCATGCAGACCAGGTGGTCCAAGCACCATCAACTAAAGAGAAGGCAAGAAATTAGTTAAGTGCTTTAAATGAGTATTTAAAATACCCCTATATACAAAGCTGCATACTAGTATTTATGTAAGAAATGAATAAATAAATCAAAAAAAAAAAAAAAAAAAAAAAAAAAAAAAAAAAAAAAAGAAAGAAAAAGAAATCAAAACTACGAAAAGTATTTACACTTAGTACGTATCTGATTTCATTTACAGGCACTTGTTTCGTGTACGGGGCACCCCCTACTTATTTTTACCACGTGTAAAAATAAGTAGGGGGGGGGGGTGTCCCGTATACGAAACAAGTGCCTGTGGCGTGTACATATTAACTGACATACTCACTAGGACAGCTTCGCTGTGTACATGTTGCGGTGTCTGAGCTAGCACCAGAGCAAGGCAAGCCCGTTATTGTGGGTGTTGGATTGGTGCAAGTCCTGGTTCTCGTGAGAACATAGTTGGCAGTGGAGCCATAACAATTGGATGGACATGCTGACCAGGAGCCCCAGTTAGACCAACCACCATTTACTTGATAAATATAAAGAAATTTAATACAGCAGAATTACTGGTATGCCTCTTCTTACGGGAAGAAAATAATAGTTTTACTTGGATGTCTGTCCGTCTGATTAAGCACCTGATCCTTACTCTGATGCTTCAATGTGTGGACCCGTGATGACTTCCTTTAAAAAAATCAGCACCTCCAGTGTCAATTTGATCTTCTGAGAAGTTAATAGGTAAGTTGACAGCTTCCCATAAGATAACGTGGATAAAGTATCCTAACAGCTCGAATTGACCTCCGCGGACAAGTAATTTGTTTCTTTTTAAACATATGTAGTGAACAAAAGAGTACTAATTTGTTAAACTGGGCACTCATTTCATCACGTCAAAGATAGCCGGATGTTTTAGTCAACTGTTATGCAACAACAAGTATTTATTTAGTTTGTTGGTCTCCTTTGATTATATATATTAATAGTGATTTTCATTAGTAATTAATAGGTAATCATTTTTAAGATAAGAGGAAATCGTATAAACTTATTAGTATATTTGGAAGTGATGTTTTTGTATGTACGCTGTATCCGTAAAGTTTGACAGGCAATTATTTTATTTTAGGTGGTTAATATTTCTAACTCTCAATTTTAGTAACTGGGGGATCCTTTAAAAAAGAGAAACACGTTGGAACTGAATTTGAGAACAGTTTTCCGATTCGATGCATATGAATGTACATGGCTGACAGTCATTTTACATTTGCAAATTTTTAATTCGTAAAATTTACTTTGAACTCAATTGATTGAACCAGTAATTCATAATAAAAAATAGAGGTGCTAGGATTGTTCAATTTGTACACAGTACTGACTTTCTGTATAATTGTAAAAGCATGAAAAAAAAAATACAGTCTTGTGTTCTCTAAAACATAAACTGAATCTTACCTTGACAAACAGGAAGTGTGGTAATACAGGAAGTATAATCTGTGTCACTGCGTTTCCCTGTTGGTGTGTTTGCACCGGAACAGTCACCGCTATTTGAATATCCAGAGCAAGAACGAGTCCTTGACCTTTGACCCTCGTTCTCGTTGCAAGTGACGGAACATCCGCCCCAACTACCCCATATCTGCCAGGATCCCGCCACTGCATAATTCATTGAAATAAATAAGGTTTCTTTTCAAAACTTTCAATGGAAACCTTATTTTAACAAGAGGTCCAATGACCTTAACGGTTATCTGAGTATAAAACAACAATGAACAATGTAAAATATCCAAAGAATATAAAATCAAAGAAAATAAACTGATAGAAAAAGCTAGGTTGCCATGAGAGCAAAAAAAAAAAAAAACAAACAAACAAAACAAAACAAAACAAAAAAAACAAAAACAAAAAAAAAAACAAAAACAAAAAACGATAATCAAGAATTTACACAATAATTTGTCTAGTACTTCGTAACAATTCATGAAGTAGATCTACATGCCCCCAATTGTCACTGTCACCATGCAGACTTAACAAAACAAAAGTGCTTCAACTCTATTGCTAAGTCCATCTCATTCCCTCACATATTTGCCGCTGTTGGTCTTTCAGAAGAACATTTAATAAATTATTTTTGTTTCATTTTTATTAATGTCTACTCATTGAAATTAGATAGTTCATTTGTACAATACAAGAAATATTCTTGCATAATTCTCTTATTCTATTAACCTTTTGATTACATCATTTAGAGTAATTAATTATCGATAGTGAATAACAGAGGGGAATAAGTTCTCTTAGTAAAATACAATCTCCGTATACTTATACTTATGCCGTATACTAGTACTTATATTATACTTATATATACAATCTCCGCAAAATTAACAGAGCCCCGGCCAAGACCAGGAACACTTAAGTGGTCATCAATTTCAAAAATCTAGTTAAAATACCCTAAGGCTTGTTTATTATAACTTTAACTTGGTTAGCCCGCGTGGCGCAGTGGTTAGAGCGTCTGTTCTAGAGGCGAGGAGTAAGGAGCTGATCCTTTGGGATGTGGTGACCAGACTTTCGGGAATAGACCGTATAAAACGAGGTCCCATGTCGCAGTACATGTTGGCTAGAAAAAGATCACTCACTGCTCAATGGCCCTGAGTGTCGTGTATAGGTATAAATTTGCAGCCCTCCTCCGCAAGTGGTGGCGTCTCCATATGAGTGAAAAATTCTCGAGAAGGACGTTAAACAATAAAACATACAAACATTATCATCACATTATCAATTAATTGACCACCCTGGATCTGGGCCACAATTTTGGAAGAAGCGCCTTTTTTAAATTTAAACTACACTTCATATTTCTTCTTAATACCCAGGCGCAGAGATGATTTTAAAAGAGTGCATTTTCAGTAAACCCACATTATAACATCATAACCCTGCCCCAGGGGCCACGAAATTTATAATTTTTAAAGAGATATTCATGCCCATCATAACCTTATGCTTTGTTTGTTTAATCAGGAGTAGTAAAGAAGATTTTCAAAGAGCAAATACACTTTTACTATTCAATTTTGGTAAAGGGTTTAATGCTTATTACAATCATGCAAACAGTTTGCCTGCTTAATGTTTAGGAGTGGAGAGTAAAGATTACATTAATTTTAACAAATTAAGCCCTGTTCCTAAGGCCCAGGGGTAAGGACCTTGAAATTCACAGTTTTTGTTTCCCCTTATCAATAGATACTGTATTCCAAAATTGGTTGAATTGGTTTAGCGGTTTCATTGAAAAAGCTAAAAGTATTGAAATATTATCACATGACGCACAACTACATAGTCAAAACAGATAGCAATATACATGTATGTCACCTGAGTATCTTGGGTCATTTAAAAAGTATTGTTGCAGATGTTATGGTGAAAGAAGAATACCAATTAGTACGCATGAATTCAATTCATATGAAAAATCATTCTCATTTACTATTCATGTATGTGTAAAGTGGGAGTAGGCACATCTTTATATTGCAGTATGGTATCTTTATAATATATTTTCACTGTAGAGAATCATTTACATTTTCTTCGAAGTACTTATACATTGAAAACACTCTAAAGCTTTAAGTACCATAGCATCCGACAGACCCACAATTAGAGGAGTCCGTGCTTGATCCTGCACAGTCGTCTGGGTCGTGAACGGGGGAAGGATTGTTACATGATCGGGATCGGGATGTTGATGTTGATGAAGATGAACATTGACTTCCAACGCAGCTCCAGGTTCCCCATGACCCCCATCCACCATTGACTGAAAGGGATAAAAAGGGTGAAGATAACGAACAGTGATCGATCTCAAAAATTCCATAAACAATGCAAAACTGTTAAGAGGGCATAAACACAAACCCCCGGAAATTCAAGAGGTGGGATAAAGTGCCTATGAGAAGACATATTAATTAGATAACACAAGGTGATCTTAATAAATACTGAATATTCTTGTATTCTGTGTGTTTCAAAGCAATTTTACTATTGTTATTGTTACTTTTTAAAAGTTGTATCACAATTTTTCATGCGTTAAGGTTGATATACTTCAGAAAAAAATGACCAATGATTTCAATGAGGTTACATATATATCTTGATATAGTGCAAATTTTTATCAAATGATCTAAATCTTTTTGTTTATATGTAGATAGATATGTATATATAGATATCAACTTCAATATGAGAGTATGTAGTGTATGTAAATTTTATATAAAGTACTAATTTGGTTTCCACCTGATTATCATATTAAGAATATGATAGTTTATCGTATTACTATCGACCATAATAAAAGATTGAAAGTTGACAGTTTCATTTCTTATCCTTACATAGTTGATAACTGATAGTATGGCACGCCGATTGCTTCAAAATTATTTTCTGCACAACGATCACGATTTTATACACGAGCTTGATGTAAAATATACACGAGTAAAATAAAAATGCACGCATCGGTAAAAATTGCACATAGTTTGAAAGATTTTAACACAGACATAACGAAAAATACACGAATCCGAAATTTTTTACACGATTAATGGGTATAAAATGCACAAACGTAAAATCAAAAACTGCACGAGCAGAGGAAACTAAAAATTACACAAACAATTTTACTGCGCATACAGCTGCGCATATCATTATTATGCACATAGAATATTCATTGTGTTCTTGGTTTTCTGTACTCTTTATCTCTTCTTGAATGCTGGATGTAATCGAGAGAAAATGGCGTTGACGATGATATGCATGTTTGTTTGCTTCTTTATTTCTTTGATAAAACTCGATCCGATTTCTAGCTAATGCAAATCAAACGAAAGAATTGTTTTCTTGTGAACTGTGTGAAAAAAAATTAAAAGTTGTTCGGAGATATTATATTTTTCTTATATTGACCGAGATCCTATCCAAAATATGGAGGTATTATATGATGCCGGACATAAATTGTGACAAGAAAGGAATCGCATGTTTGTGTTATAATGCGGGGAAAAAGTACCATTGCATATGATGCACTCGACTCTGAACTAAAAGTAATACACAGCAAACTCTAAATTCATAACGATAAACAGGTCTTGCTTTAAAAAAAAACATAGAATTATTAATTTATTTTTTCTCAAAATATACGCTCTATGGCCTTTTAAAATTATCTAACTTACAGATACAACTTTAACGGAAATTACTTGTATAGAATAAAATTAACACATGCATAATAAAACGATTAATAAAGTGGATTCCTCATGAAAATGATGGCAGACTTATTGCTGATTATAATCATTAAATTGTAGAATTTATTTCGGTACTTCTCATTTGTACTAATTATGATTTCATTTGAGCAGATTATTTTTTTCATTTGGGAATAGAAAATTATTCAGTTAGCTGGATATATTTTTTATTTTCAAAAAGATTAAAAAGTCAGTGGGGATTACCTGACCTTAGATAAACACAGTATGTTTTTAAAGTCAAATATAAAAAAAAATATTTCTAATTAAACATGTATCTTTACTTATAAAATATGAGGACATCAATTTTGGTAGATATTAGCCTACACTGTTATGAATTCCTTCCATGATATCGCATATTTTCAGTCAAAAACTGCTCATTAAAAAACAAGACATTTCTAAGGGTAAGCGTTACCCTCATTCATAATGGCGATTACTTGATAAAAAGACCAGATAAAGGAAAAATATATACTCTATGTGCTTTATATACATGCGGTTTTGTGTTTTGTTACTTAAAATTTGTCCAAATGAAATAACAAAACTCTATCAAATGATCCTCGCACCGGTAAAACTAATGACATTAGTGGCGGATCTGGTTCGTGGATTGATTGAGTCGCAACATCTGAATCTATGTATTTATTAAAGTTTCAAATCGTTGGACCAAAATGACACATCAGAAATTTTAAAACAGTGAATTACTAAATACATCTACGTACAATGTTACAAATAAGAAAATTGGAATGGATATTACATTAAATAGAAAGAACATAGAACGTGTTTTATCGCTCTTGAAAAATGCAAATAAATCATGTTCTTTATGGAGCTCGAGGTTTGACAAAGATTTTCCAAGATAACAAATTTTCTTTACATTTCGAATTTGTATGCATAAAATTTTAATTATTATCCGAACACTTGTTTTTTTTTTACCCAAATCTATAGTCATTATATAAAGAACATGACTGTATAATTATAAAATGAAAATAATCTTCAATAACATTCAAGGAACATATTTGATAAAGCTCCACTTTTTAAAAGATTATTCATGTGCATATCTAACATTTCTGAAAATTCAGATTATGGGTGAATAAGCCTAATCTATGCAATATGAATTTTGTACGTATATGTGTACAAGTAATTAAAAAGTTTGCTTTATAACAATATTGTACATGTGTATCAATGCCATCAACCAGGTCTTGTTTTACTTTGAGCATGACTACGAATAAATATAAGAAAGCATATGATGAATATAAACCTCAAGAAATTTTTGTTTTATTACCGTGTGCAAATTTATTATTGTCAAAATCTGTATTGAAAATAAATGTGCATGTGTAGCCAAGTCCCAGCTAATTAAGTTCGTCTTGTAAATCTTCTTGAATTTGGTCTTACAATATCGTTACAAATCAGTTAAATTGCAATCCTGATTTCGATAGACTATTATATGTACCCTCAAATTCTTTGAAAATATTTCAGGCACGTAGCATCAGTAGGGGCCTGCCCCCCCCCCTTTTTTTCCAAACATAACCTAGCTACTTCTATTGTAAATGTCCACTGAAAAAGCTGGTTGCCCCCCCCCCCCCCTGTTGTAGGATAGTTTAAATCAAGGTAATTTGGTATTATAATGTGTTTCGAAAACAAAATGGAAGGTGGAACCCCCCCCCCCCACCACCACCACCACCACCACGAAACACGAAATAAGATTTTCGAGTTTGGACACTTTACCTTTTTTGTTGCTTGTCAAGGTTTTTTTTCAGATAGGTTGTCAAAAAAAAATCTGGCTGCCCCCCCCCCTTTTCAAAAACGATACTACGTGCCTGTATTTTCTAATTTTAAATTTTCCTTTATATGCATTTTAACTATTCAAAATAGACTACCGCCGGTACATTAAAAACAACATAAAATTAAGCTTTAATTCACATAAGTAAAACGACTGTATAATTTTTCTACAGTTTCATGGAGTTTTATGAAATCACCACACGTTGCTCAAAAGTTAAGACTACATGTACTACTTTGTTACATACATATATCAAAAAGTGATATGCGTTTCAATATTAAAATTTCAGTTGCGCAACTATTTGCTCGATTTTCTTTACTGTTGACTTCCAAAAAGTTTTCGGTCAAATTCCACAACCCAGATGATCGCAACATTGCTTCAAAATTGCCAGTAATCTTTAATCAAAAGGTATTATTGGTGTGTGAAATAGCTATAAATCGATTAGCGTACAGGTGTCTTTCGTTCCAGAATCAGCAGGGAGGGATCTCTGTATGAAAAGGTCACGCATGCACATCCTTGATTATTACCAAAAGTACACTCAGTGGGTGGTGGGGGAGAAGAGTTTGATTTGTTGTTAACTCTCCTGTATTATATAACATGCTGTTTTTATTTATTTTAATTTAGGCCTATATGTCATTGTTTTAAACTTTCAAAAGAAATTGCTATATAGAGGAATGACCTACTAAAAAAATCCAACAATTAAACACACAACTGTAATATACACTCCCCTTTTTTTACGTTATCTATACATGTACTCTTTGTAGAATGTTTTTTATTCGGGAGTATTCATATACTACAAGTTTAAGATTGTCTGCCTGTCAATTTATCTACATGTATAATATACGTTGTACATATTCTTGAGAGTCTAGCGGAATTTTAAAAGAATCTTTTTTTAAAAAGATTACTAACACTTTACTCCTCCTTTTGTATTTATAATATGTTTCAAGCATCCAAGCCACATTGACCTGTTCTCTAATGAATATTAATGAAATGTGCGCAATGAGGATGCGTTGCGAATTTTGTCAATGTTGTCTTCTCACTCGTGCAGTTTTCGTTTTTATGTTTGTGTAATTTTCTCACTATATCGTGTAAATAGTTTGCTGATTGTGCAGTTTTTCAATAGTTTGTGTAAATTTCAATAACTTCGTGTATATTTTCCTCACTTTGTGTAAGTTTTTACTTACTCGTGTAATTTTTGTTTAAGGTCGTGCAGAAAATAATTTTGAAGCAATCGGCGTGCCATATGATAGTTTCCCTTCTAATCTGCTCTTCTAATCTAAGCTGGCAATGTTGTCAGTTGAAAGTTTCCTTTCTTTTTAATTATCGACAACACAAAGTTGACAATTTACAGTTGCCATTCTAATCTACCATTAACTGCAGAAAATTGACGTTGACAAACATCAATTTTACCCCTTTCACCTATCTTGCGTGATTGTTCATGTCAAATATGATTTAACCAAATCATTCAGAATACACATACTTAATACTCGACCCGAAACTGACGAGAGGTTTTGTTCCTTAAAATTATTTTCTTATCATCTACATATGAGGTTATGTCAGCAAGTACAATCTATCATTAAGTCGAATTCTGAATGATGTTTTTCATACCAACTGTAAGGTCATTATTTACATAAGAATATTTTTTTCCCGATCATGACTAGGAGCACACGATAAGCGTGCCCGGTAGACAGGGGATGCTCACTCCTCTATGGCACCTTATCCCACCTTTGATGTTTTAGAGGTCCGTGTTTGCTCTGCTCCGGATTTGTATTGTTTCAATGGACTTTTGAGCTTGAATACTGTTCGTTATCTTCATATTTAATTCGTCCGGATAAGTCTAGATTCGCACCCATATGAAAAGTTAGGGTTAGTACTTGCAATAATCAAATGATAAGGGTTACTCTCACATCACACCCAAGAGATGAGAGTTAGTCCTCGCATACCATTCCACTAATAAGGGTTTGATTCGCACCAACCCAAGAGATAAGGGTTAGTCCCAGCAAACTGTCCGACTGATTAGGGTTAGACTCGCATTCACTCAATAGACTGATGATAGTCCTCGAACACAGTTTGATTTAATTAATGTTAGGCTAATACCCATGGCAAAACTATATTTCAGCGGGGTTTTTTTCTTAGGAAAGGGAGGTTTGTTTTTTTTTAAAAATCAAATGTCAACTGTCGACCTGGATCATGAAAATGAATATTTAATTGTCAACCGTCTACCCGTCACTGGTCGACACTAAGACATGAATTCAGAAAGTGTCGATCCTCTCTTTAGTCGACACTAAAACATAAATTGATGTCAAAAGTGTCTGATATCAACCATCTATCTGCAAAAATGTTAGAAATGTAGGAATGTGTACAAGTTATACTTTTATAGTTTTACAGGTACTACCTAAAGTTACCCTTATATTGGGGATCAGCCGTGAAGATATATGTGGGTGAACTAAAACAGCACACAGTCTTCTATTTCGTGCAATCCTGTTTGTAATTTGTTAAATCAATTCTTGCAAATTATCCAATTCTATCCAGAAAGTTGATTTTTTGACATAAAAGGGGTTACTTAGCAAGAAATGTACAAAAATACTTCATTAAAGCAACGAATGTGGAAGACTTCACGAAAATAGCAAAAATGTACCTGTATTTAGTCATCCTTCTATTTAAAAAAGAAACACTGGAACAAATGTAACATTTGATGTTTCGTTATAGTGAAAGAAAACCTACTTTACATCCGAAATACAATATTGTTATGCATTATTGTTAATACGCTCGATATTATTATTTTCCTTGCCCCCTATATGTAAAAATGGCATTCCATATATATGATGTTAGCGTTTAAAAGGTTTAATATTGGGCTTTCAAAATGTATGCGCAAGTTATAAAATTTATTAACCCAATAAATGGCACTCTTCTGATTAATATTTTAAAATTACTTCTACATCCATTGGAACTACAAGTTCCAGATTCTGAATCAGAGCCGGGACAATCGTCTCCTCCATTCTGACGACTCGGGTTGGTGCAGGTCCGTTTCCTAGTAGTAGTACTGGAGGGCCATGAACAACCGTAACTATGACTACAAGGACTTCGGGCCGTCCAGCTTTCCCAGGCACTCCATCCACCATGCACTATAAAATATCTTTTATGTAAACAATATGATTTAAATAATTTATACAATTAATACAATTTATATAAACAAAACGAATTTCTTTGTATGTAGTATGAACAATTACTGTCAATTTAAAAAAAAAAAAATGAAGTTTACATGTACATGTATTCAAAGTAATCGTTGAAAGAGGAACTTTACGACTGGAAATATAATCTACAAGGTCTCTGTGCAGAGTGTAAGTTTTTACGCCATATGAGTTGGTTTATTCGCCAACAAAAGAGAGAAAATAGCGACCTTTTCGAGTGGGTCGACTGGGGTTTTAATATGAAAAAACAACTACTAGACGTCATTACAGATACTACGAATTTACGAAGAAAATGACATTAAAAAAAAAAACAAAAAAAACCCCCAAAAACATTTGGCTTTCAAATTCTTGTGTTTAAAATTTCAAGAGCGTATACTGTAGATTTTTGTAACATTTTTTTATGAACCTTCTTAAAGAACTTCAGCTTTTCATAACGTCATAAACACAATAGGGACGTCCGTCTGCCCCCCAACTGAAACTCGTTTAAAAAATTAATTTATAAAAGGTGTCATTAATTATTTTTTTTTAAACTTGTGATTTCTTGAACTTAATTTGATAAATATTGGTGAAATCAGAAAAATTGCTTTAAAAGTGTAAATAAGCTTTATTTTCCTATTCTGGGGCAATCAAGTATGTGCAATGAAAATTTCAGTTGTGCCCTTAAAATAGGTAATTTAAGGTCCTCATTATTAACTATATTTACGATACCAGTAACGACTTATCCAGCAGGACTATAGGATGATGAAGAGCGAAGAACATGAACATATATGAGGATTATCTTTCAACTGCTCGGTTTCTAGGCTAAAATACAGGACTGGGCCCTCTTGTGATTAAGAATTTCACTAATATTTCATGCGTCAATTTATATATATATATATATATATATATATATATATATATATATATATATATATATATATATATATATATATATATATATATATATATATATATATATATATATATATATACACGAGGGTCGTTCAATAATTAATGCAATAGGTCATCTAAAAGTAAGAAAAGTGCGTAATAGATATTCTAAACATTTTTAATCCCTCAGAGCATTCCCTGTTATCCTTTACACATGTCTTAAGTCTTTGTACCCATGACCAGAAAACCTCAGCATACAAATCTTTATGGATGCCGCAAAGACACTGATGAATATCACTTTCCATGACATATCTAATATTGTACAATCTTCGTTTGATTGTTTTCATGCATTTTTAGAATAAAAAGATCTCACAATGGCTGAGATCTAGCGAATATTGGGGATGGCAAAGCTCTGTAAACTTTCTTTTCTTCAGAATTACATTTATTTCTATGTGCTTATTTGCAGCAGCGTTGCCAGGTGCAAGAAAATTAGCCTGGGGGCGGTATTTGGACTTCTTTTGCAGGAAATCTGTTATCTTTCCCCATAAAAGTTACCATTGATAGTCCTTCCTTTGGGTGTATCTACCTGTTTTACTGGACCTCTTGAAAAAAATGAAAACTAATAAAACATGCTTGGAACACTTCTTTCTCTTTCGAACGATAGCTTTTTCTTTGATTCCACATTTCATTATTGATCTTCATTTTTGGCTATAAAAAGTGCACCCATGTTTTGAAAGCCATCACGCAAATTTAACAAATCTTCTGTTTTGTTAAAATATGTGTTTTTAAGTAGACCGTTGGGACATCTAATGCGTATTTTACTCTTAGGCAATTTTAAGAAAATAAGGTATATATCTGATAAAAATATAATTATATTCATTTCCGTTGTCAGAATTCTAACTAATGTTATGACGATGAAATGCTTAGTGTTCTAGCAATGTCTTTGGATGCAAATCTGAAATTTTTAGATACCATATTGAACATTGCATCGATAACTTTTTGTGCCCCTTCAAATTTCAATCAACCAGTCTGACTTTTATATTTTAACTCTCCTTTCTTACTTTTGAATTTCTGGGTCCATCTGAAAACGATATAGCTTTAAAGACTATTCTTTCCACAAATAAAAATCATATTTTTAATAGCTCTTTAATTGAATGTTTCAACTGTGAAAAAATAAAATTAAATAGATCTACATTTACTATGATATACTGTTTGTTGCATTATATTTATTGAACGACCCTCGTATATATATATATATATATATATATATATATATATATATATATATATATATATATATATATATATATATATATATATATATATATATAGCCATAATCAAAGATCCGGCCTGTATTCTGGTGTTATGGAATTCAAATATCATGGACTTTCCTTGGCCTTTTCAAAAAGACAGATCAAAACTTACAGAGGGAAAGAGTTTGATCCAAATTTGATGAAGTCTTAATTGTTTACTTACATAAGATAGCATTGAATCAAAAGAGACATCGGGTATATAATAGGTTCATTGTAAGACCAATGTCCATGACTGCGCTCATGTCTCTCTCAATTGTTTAAGTCACATCACATTCACATTGCTACATTGTGGACTTGTAAGAATTCCAACTTTATCAGCATTGCATGTCAATTTGTCATTGAAACTGAACGGAAAAGTACATGTTCCCAAATCAAAGGTTTCTGATTCACTCCGCTTCACATAAACGTTTATGTGGACCTGAGTGATTCTGAAACCATTGACTTGCGACGATGGGAAAAACAGTGCATAATTTCCCAATCCAGTATTTTTTCTTGTCTACAGAAATGTGTACTCAGTGATGAACTATTAGTATGATGATAAATATTTTCTAAAATTCTAACTCTCATTGACAAAATAATATAATCAGGTAAATCAAAATGTTCATAGATGCTGCATGGCAAATCGTTTTTAATTCAAATTATATTTTTCGATATTCGATGATTAAGTAAACCCATGGTTTCACCAACATAAATAAGCCCACAAATTGCACATTCTATTCTGTAGACAATATTAGAAGATTCAGAATTCAAATTTTCCCCAAGTTTTGATACAGAAGCTTTGTCCAGTTAGATTACTAGTAAAAAAGCTAGTACTTAATCAAAACATTATACAGGTTTTACAGTCTGGCAAGAATTTAGAAAAGATGACATGGGATCGGAAAAGGATTTTTCAATTATATTTATCTCAAATAGAAACTTTAAATTCGTTCACATTTTGGTATAAGAATTGTTAGTGTTATTCCAAAATTGAGCATCTGATGAGTGCATATATTGCACATATTAAATATCCCGGAGGATTATCGAGTAAAATGAAATCTTACTTTTCATCTCTTTAAGCAATTCATGCACAGCTAAACAATCGGATTTTTTTTTGTATTTAGAAGCGATATTTTCATGAGAGCAATCAAAGCACCATAGCGAAGTTGCTGTATATTATTTCTTTCGACTAGTGTGTGTCCTACAGATGCTTTGAAAATTTAGCAAATTAGCTAGTGGCTCAACCATGTAATCTGAATATCCATCCTTTTGCTGTCCGGCAATTTCCGCGAAGGAATATTTCCATCTGAGGGCTAAACGACGAATGGCTTGTTCTAACTGGACAATATTTACGATGATCTTCTACAAGATCTCTGACAGAAACATCAAAACATATGACTTTTCTACATTTTATACAACCATTCCTCGTAATAAATTAAAACTAAGCTTTTTAACATCATAGACAACTGTTTCTTCAATAAAAAAAATGGAACTCAAAAGGATAAAATTTGTTTTTAAATTGATGGTTATATGATTAATTAGGAAAACGAAGTAAAATTACTTGGCGTTACTCTAGATTTTGAGCTTAGTTTACCTCTCATATTCAAATATTCGTAAGAAAGCTTCACAACAACTAAATGTCCTTAAAAGAATAGGGGTACAGCTGACCAAATTGGAAAAACTTATAGTTTATCATGCATTCATCATGTCAAACTTCAGCTACTGTCCATTAGTTTGGCATTTCTGTGGTGAACAAGAAAAAGGAAAGAACATTGCGTATCGTCTATGACGACTACAAAAAATCATTATATGGATCTTTTTCTGACTTAAGACGATAAGGGCCAGCTAACAAATGGGGATTTCAACAACCTCGTGTAATGTCAGTATTTCGTAAATTTTCTATGATCATTATAATGACCATATTTGCAAGTATAACCTATCATTTGGTCGATTTTTGGCTGATTTTTTCACACAAATTGTTAGGCCTTTGTTTTATACTATATTTGACTACAGAATATTTTCTCTACCTGAACAATTATTACTTTGGGCTCAAGGCGAGTGTGACCGGTCGACAGGAGATGCTTTCTCCCTCTAGGCACCTGTCCCACCTCTGGAAATTCGAGGACCGTGTTTTTTTTTTTACTTGTTCACAGATTTGTGTTGTTTGTACATATTTTTAGATTGATCACTGTTCGTTTTCTTCACCTTTTCACAGCTTCAGTCGATATATAGCCTACTAGTACATGCCACGTTAGAAATACAAAGGAAAGGGAATCTAAAGATCGTGTATTCAGATTTCATTTCAATTGTGTATTTTCACTTAATAATGTAGGAAATCAATAAGACAAAATCGTACAAAAATGATACAACACCGTTTTTAAAGTATGAAAAATACATGCATATTTTATGTATTACATTTATTTACACAGTTAATATACTTGCTATGGACTTACCCACACATTTCCATGTTACTGAGAGTTGTTTGGTGTGTCCTGGGCATGGATCACCCAACACGCTGGCATAAACATTCACTGAGCAGGAAGCCCGATTGTCGCAATTGCTTTGAAGAATCGATGTGACGTCATCTGAGCACCCTCCGCTTACCTTGGAGTACGTTGCTGATTGGATTTTTATGACGTTATATGTATAATCGCTACAAATTGCACTGAAAGTTGAAACCTCTGCAACAGTGGCCGAATGTGCTATAAGGAAAATTTGGAAGCAATTATAACAAGCTAATTCATAGAATTTGTGTCCCCCGCTTAGGGAAAGAAAGAAGAGCATGCACACTTCCGGGAGGAGGCACACTGCCCCCCTGTATTTGTAGAATTATTAAATGTGTACATGTATATTGTAGCAAATTAAAAAAAACAATATGGATATTATGAAGATTTGATTGCGTATTCTTTAATATGTGTACAGAAGATTCTTTTTAATATACTATATACAGAATATATATCACACTGTTATAATGATTTTATGACTTTGTACACGCCAGACATTATAACTATTTCATTTCAGATGTTGAATAGTATCATTTACTATATCAAAAAAAAAAAAAAAAAAAAAAAAAAAAAAAAAAAAAAAGGGGAATCGTCCAGGGATAGAACCCGGGCCTCTCGTTTGCTAAGCGAGCAACATACCACTAAACCACGGAGGCCCTTGGTTACATAGAGCAAATTAAATGCAAACATTAAGTCACATGTAATGTTTATATTCACGTTTGCTATTGTCAAAATTTTACACAATAAATGTTGTCTAATTTAGCCTTTACTAAACAGTTCTAATGGATGTAATTAGAATATAAAGTCCGCCGACAATCTGTATTATACGCAATAACTCTCGACATGCCCCTGTGCTAAAAAAGTGCCAAGCGATTTTAATACAAAAAATAAATTTAAAAAAAAACAAAAAAACGGGGCGGGACACTTTGAGAGGGGCAAGGGAAGCCATAGGGAGTTATGGTATAAAATTTCATTGCAAAAGCTCAAAAGCTTCTTGAGATATCGCCCGGAAACGAAAGTGTTACACACAGACGGAATTTATGAATTTACGACCTTGAACTTTGACCTTTTGACCTCAAATCAATAGGGTTCTTCTTTAGGCCATAGGGAGTTGCTATGCAAAATTTCATTGCGAAAGCTCAAAGGGTTCTCGAGATATCGCGCGTAAACAAAAGTGTTACAGACAGACAGAAATACAGACGGACGGACAGACGGACAGACAGACCCAAATTAATATCCCCCACTTTCAATGAAAGCGGGGGACAATAAATTTACATGTATATCCATGGAACATTAACTAGAATCATTGAGGACACCACAGACACACACACACACACACATATATATATATATATATATATATATATATATATATATATATATATATATATATATATATATATATATATATATATATATATATATATATATATATTGTCCCCCGCTTTCACTGAAAGTGGGGGATATTAATTTGGGTCTGTCTGTCCGTCCGTCCGTCCGTCCGTGACATGGGGACAGCTAGTTGGCAAACAGTATGTTGGTGAAACAGGAGATCTCCGCAGGAGAGTCAATAATCACCGTTCTACCATCAGGACCAAAAAACTAAATGAACCCGTTGGGGAACATTTCAACCTTGAAGGTCACAAATGGGAAGACATGACAGTAGTGGTTATTGACCATAATCAAAGATTGAAAGACGATCAGAGAAAAGGCAAGGAAAAGTTCTGGATGCACAGGCTGAAGTCATTCCGCCCTAATGGTATTAACAAACTAAATGACTTCACCAGGATGAACGTGAACTAGACCCAATCCCGGATTGTAACAAGTTCATTCTCTCTATGTAGTGTAAACTTTACCGTTAATTCGCATTAGCAATTCTGGAACAACCTACACAAATATTTACAGCTTACATTTTTTTTATTTCTTTTATCCGATTTCCAAATTTATAATATATCCAAATTCATTGTTTCTTTTTATCAGGTATAGTTACGCTATATTGAGTGAATAAGACAGTGTACGACTTACCATTTGGTCGTAATTAATTAGCGATAATTAATTCGTTCAATTATGTAAGTCGCACTTCACCAGAGTACACCCGATAGACCGGACGCAATTCTTAGCGCTCCGGAGTTCTTTCTTCGCAACTGTTTTTAAACTTCAAATTAAGAATGTAACACTGTAAATATTTAGTGTTTGGCAGTTTAGTAGTAGTGCCAGTTGTTTTTGTTTCTCTATTTCCTTTTTTTCTATGACTTCTTAACTTTTTTGTTTGTCCCGAGGAAGGGGCAGGTCGTATCGAAAATTTGACAACTTTTGTTGTTCGTGTCGTAGGTCATTTTTAGTGCTTTATATAAATTTCCATCCGTCACCTTGTATCTACTTAGTAGATCCGACACTTAGGATATACAGTGTTGTTGGTATTTTAGTGCTTTATATATATACATTTGCAAATGTTTTCCCTTATATAACACTATTGAAAGCAACGCGTTTCTATATCCGTACAAACACAGGTTCCTCGCGTCATAAACGTTCGACGTAATTTCTCAGTGACGTCATAAAGGGTCGACGCGCAAACAATGGATCAAATACGTGCCGTTGAGTTTGAAAAATAAAACATTTCAGATTAAAGATTATAATCAGGAAAATATAATAAAATATGAATAAGTCATAAATGTAAATATAAGTAATAATGTATCATTTTTAAACATCTATCGGATATAAATACGGGTTGGTACGAGATCAAATTTACCATAAAGCCCTTCGGGCTTTATGGAATTTGATCTCGCGACCAACCCGTATTTATATCCCGATAGATGTTTAAAAATGACACCTTTTTTCTTAAATATATATTCTTTCATTCCTTTCATTCTATCTTCAGAGGCTTTACAAAATAAACAACAGTAGTTACATAGTAACGTTACACAATGATACGCGAAGAGTATATATATATATATATATATATATATATATATATATATATATATATATATATATATATATATATATATATATATATATATATATATATATATATATTAGGGATGGCAATTTGTAACCGGTTAACCGATTACTCGGTCGGAACGATGTCAATCGAGTAGAAAATCTGTAACATGATCGGTTAATCGGAAAAAATAAAATATTAATTTTGTTTAATTGAACACATTTTTAGAAAATTTATTTTTAAAAAGAACTCTGCACAAAGGATGATCATTTAGGATTTAAAGGATCTAATTTGGACGTACATGTAATTATGAATCTCCAGATTGAGACCGTAGCGTAACTGGCCAGTTTATGTAGTGTTAATTACTGTGAAAACACCATGTCATTATCCCGACTGTCCTGTAATTCTTTAATGATAATAATTGAATCATTGAGCACTGTGAATTGGTGTATTTGTCGTTTTCAGTTTTCAATCCAATTTACATGCAATTATTAAACAAACTTTGTAAATTAAGGGCAATAGAGTTCATATGCAGTTTTGATTATCATAGTGAAAATCCAGAAAGAACTTGTGTGACATCTGCTCTGGAAAATTATCAAAGATTTATTATGCTTTTTTCATGGTTTTCTCAATTTTTTCTTGTCTACTGAAATTTAAATAAAAAATATGATTGAATCCGTAGTTTTCTGATCCAGAATCAAGACTAATGGAATCTTTAAACTTCTATCGTCTTATTTGGGTTTATTTGTGTATATGGGCAGAGCTACTTGAAAAACAATTTTCAAGAAAACTTGCATTTTGATACGATTAAACGGTCGGAACGTCTAGCGGTTACCCGATTAGCAATTCTGCAATCAATTGTCATCCCTAATATATATATATATATATATATATATATATATATATATATATATATATATATATATATATATATATATATATATATATATATATATATATATATATAAAGGATATTCAATGTTTTGTAGATGAATATGGAATTTATTTCACGAGTGGGACAGGATTTTTTGATATTTTCACGAGTGCGAAGCACGAGTGAAAATATCAAAAAATCCTGTCTCACGAGTGAAATAAATTTCATATTTATCTACAAAATATTGAATTTTCTGTTTATTACATTTTCTTTGATTTTCCTTTTGCATCTGTCTTCTCTTAACACAGTGTCATAGGCTTGACGTCATAGTTGAGCGGTTGAGACGTCATAGCCTAGCAGTTGTGAGACTGAAAACATTACATAGCATGGACTTTAGCAACATATTTGGGAAGAAATATGCAGTTTTAGCTCTATAAAGATGGTTAGTTACTATCTCTATCTTATAACAGGCCAGAAATTATTTTTTACTTACTTTGATATCCTTTCACACTGTGAGAGAATATCACTTTGGTATCCTTTCACACTGTGAGAGAATATCACTTTTATTCAATAAATAAATCACAGTATTTCACTCTTGAAAATGTAATATATATATATATATATATATATTGTTTTTTTTCTTTCGCTCTGCATACCTTTCGGTGTTGAGCAATATCATTACTGACTGGTTGATGTTTTACCCAACTGAACTTAATGCTCAAGTGAGCTTTAATTTTCTGAAAACATTTTCTCGGACGTCCGTCTAGCTATCTTAGCCGTCTGTAAACTTTTCACATTGTCGACTTCTTCTCCAGAAACACTGCGCCAATTTCAACCAAACATGCCACGAAGCACCTTTGGGTACTGGGGATTTAAGTTTGTTCAAATGAAGGATCAATCCCTATTGGAGATATAGTTAAGAATTGGTACATACTTGGTGGCATCATTTTAAAAATCTTCTTAAAAAAACACTCGGCTAAAAAAAATGAAACTTATATGAAATCTTCATTACAAAGTGTAGATTCAAATTTGTTGAAATCATTATCTCCGGAGGTAGGATGAGGCCACAGTGGGGGATGAAAGTTTTACTTCGGAATATATATACATATAGGGAAAAATCTTCTCAAGAACAGCAAAGCCATGAATAGTCATATATAAATAAATATGAAATCATCCTCAGGTAAAGTTCACAATTGTTCAAATTATGACCCTCGGGAGTAGGTGGGGTGGGGGACAAGGAGGATCAAAGTATTAGATAGGAATACATAGGAAACATATTTTAAAAATCTT